ACGCAGCAGTAACGACAAACTGATCGTCTCATTTGTGATATGTACTTCGCAATTGACCTCCAGGAACGAGATGTGTGCCTTGCTAAGTGAGCATTATGCATGAATTACTTGTGGCAAAAATAGCTTGTCTAAAGGTGAAGATGGCTGAGTTGCCTGCAGCTCAACATTTTCACTAAAATCGCGAATGTCAGCAATTTAATTCCGAGTTATTAATCACTGCGATCACTTAACTGAGGTTAGTGAGCACTGAATATAGTGTAAGTCATCTGGTTCATCAAGATTCCTATTTCGTTCAGCAGTATCCTCCTCAGTCCATTTTGGTAGAATTCATCGAAATTAACATAACCTCTATCATTTTTAAGGTCAAATTTCTACTAAATTGTCTTTTCGGGGCAATGTGTATGCCTTAATATTTTAGGGAGATAGAATTTCACCGCTTTTAAATCCTGAGGCTAGTTAAGCAAGTGATTCATTCACTCTATTTCACACTATTTTGTTGAACGTTGAAAAGTTTGTTTGAAAAGATAAAAATCTGGAACAATTTAATATTGTGCTCTGTTTTCGTTCAATTATAACTGAAGATGGACAGAATTGATGTTCTCTGCGTTTTTACATCCATTATCGTTGGCATCTTATACACAACTATTATAAAAGCCCAGCGTGAATCATCTTTGTATTGGTCTAATCTTTCAGATGTGGAAAAAGAAATATCATTTCGCACAGAACAAGGTCTGTATTTTTCTTATTTCAAAGAATCGCTATCAGTGAACAATATTCTGGATGGTAATCCGACCTAATGATTCATTTGTATTAGTTATTGATATATTGTCTCACAACAATCTGACAGAGTCACCGAAAACTCTGAACATTTTTCAACGGATGAACATTCTGCCTGAAGTGCTACTCCGTATTATATATCAGGTTAGTGTGCCTAACTTAAATAATTTTTATTCAAAAATATTTCTTCAAGCGTATGCTTGGAAAACATTTGAGACATAAGTCCCTCATAAATTTCACACAGAATTCTACAGAATCACATCGAACTCATCATTTTAACTCTCCGGTTTTATGTATAAATATACAAAGAGTCTTTTATCTCCTCTGATTCAGTCATAATAGCCATTTTATCATTTAAGGGGAGATTTACTGTTTTTTCTTAAGTGTGCTATTGCATGCCTTAGTTTTCTTTTTCCAGAGTTCAGTGAATCTCCATGTCTTTCTAATTGTTTCCATTTGGTGCTTCAAACATTTTCACTGATGTTTATTCGAGGTTGTTAATACCCTCAATAAGTGTTAAAATTTGATGAACAGTTGATCGAAGACATCTGGTGATATTTGTGGAAATAGTTTTTTACGGGTGCCAACAGTCACGAAGCCTACATGTGTGACTTTCTTCAAGTTACTTCCAAACAACTACAAAAATACTCTTTACTTACGGTCATTTAGTTTGTTAACCACACTGAAAACTTGCCTGGTGGAAGTCAGTCATCACTAGCTCCAAGGACTAGACTCATGAAATTGGTTGCTCTCTAATGACAAATCAGTGTGTCCATTACAGTAATATAAGAGGTCTAATGTAGGGCTAAACAGCTCACTGGTAACATCTCAGAATGTCGCACTGGGTGATGAGGTTTTGAATCTCAGAGGTGGCAACACTTCCATCAGGGTTACAGATACATCTAGCAAGCTCCATAACATAACAATTATGCGAATAAAAATCCAAGTCAATGAGATTGTAGCGGTAAATAATTCCCCGAAATTACTGACCACAGCAATCATCACTGAACTTCGGATGCTGACTCTCACTGTTTAAGTCAACTTGTTTAGCTGATGGTTTTCGGTCAAGCATCCTTGCCATTTGGTACTCCGTCGTGTCACGTGCGTGCACGATCACTAGCTAGTTAAGCGCTCGATAAGGTTTACTATTTGGTCCCGAAATATATCACGTACTTTGGACGACTAAATCTGGTCTTTTGCTTTATCTTTGGTACACGAAGAGCGAATACGATAGAAGTTGTTGGTATAAGATCTTGCGTTAGCATACTCTGTACAATTCGCGAACTTCGATACCGCCAGCCTCCAAAAGATGATAGCGTAACAATATATTATCAAAAATACAGTTATAAGTTATATTAATTAAACGGTTACTCGCATATACTGTTAAAGTCCACTGCTACAAATTATTAGTATAATCCACAGAAGCGTTAACTGTTGGAATCGTGTCTACTGGTAGAAGCTGTGTGCCAGTTGTAGAGTTGTCTTCGAACGAGGATAATAGGTTCCTGCAATAAATCCAAAGTATACAACACGTTTATGAGTGGAGCAAGTAGACAGTAATGATCAGTGAGAAGACAAAGCGACCGACAGGACACTGTATTTCAGATTGTACTCGGAGGTTATTTGTATTTAACCATGAATCATTTTAAACAAGAGTCTTGTACAATGTCTCTAATTTCAACATCTAACAAAAAGGTGTACAATCATATTGTTACGTAATCCACACATCTTGCTGATGAGTGCCAACAAGCATGAAAAGTAGGTCAGGTGGTGCTTCCTATCTCTTGGCTCCTAAACCTCACAGTTTACGATCATTTTATGGTTGATTATGTGAGTTATTATCTTCCGAATTCATAAGTCATCTGGAGACAATTTACAAAACAGAAGATTGCAAAACATTTAGGTATTCCTACTTATTCATTTGGTTCATTTTGACCATAAGTTCTGTAAACTTGTACAAATGAACTAATGATTGGCTTTATCTCGACGATATGCAAATATAATAGGAGTGATGGTCTGGGATGCAGAAAGTTGTTTATTTACTAGCGGTAAGAAGGTAAGTTAGTTCATACCCGACACAATTTTCATCACACAAAACATATGCCAAATATGATATCGTGGAATCTTAATACTTAGGCGTGAGCGCGTAAAGTCATCTTAAATGACTTCTTGTTTTACTTGAGGAGATGGAAGGTGAAAGCTGCGGGTAAAGTGGATGCCCACAGTCTGACAAAATCCCTTTAGCAAATTTGTTGCATGAAATCAAGTGCCTATCAATGGCGACGTCAACGATATGGCCCAATGAGATACCACTCACCTACCAACAGTCTTCAAAGTCCTGCGAAGTATGAAATAGTCTTTCTTAAGCGACTCTGGAAAAGAATAAGGGTGAACAATAAAGAATAGGTAAAATGTAAGAGGAGGGGTTGAGTTATACCCGAGTACCTTAGCTTCTTAATATATATTTTACTAGAAATCGCTAAGACGTAGGAAGAGCAGGATAGATCAGAAGAAAGAATTAGTCCAAGATACTTAACATCAGACTTGGCTTATGTATCACTAACCTCAATTTTACAACAATCATGGGAATTAACAGCTTCATTTAACTTTCTTTCTGAGTCGGTGGCACAGCGGTTAGGACTCTCACCGACCATGCACATGGTCCGGGGTTCGATCCCCTGCCGACGCACACCTGATATCAGTGGTTGGCTTGCTAAATTTGGGCTACCGATATCACATGCCGAAAGTTCCATACTTGTAACAAAAGTACTGTGTAGAATCAAGCTATAATAAAAAAAGGAATTTTCAGACTGTAGTACAGCACTGCATCTAATTTTCTCATTACAGGGGTAATAATTAACACAGGACATTTACATTCATAATATTGTTTAATAAGAATATGAATATAAAATTAAAATTTGATTGAAAAATATTAAAAACAATACGATAATGAAAAAAGTACGGCCGTTTACTTAGACTTCCACACTAAGTTGGTAATGTCCTGCCTTACACTTTTCTCATCACATAAAATGTGTGCCAGCTGAGGTATCGCAGAGTTTTTGTGCTTGGTCGTCCGAGCATATAGTCTTCTATAGTTCCTTCTAGTTTTACCTGATGACATGCAAGGAGAGAGTTGGGTATAGAGAGGATGCTCTGAGTCTGACAGGATTATATTTGCTAATCTCTTGCAAAAGTCCATGTGTCTATATACAACAGTATTAACGAGTTGGTTAAGCGATATACTATTCGCCTTACTGACGGCTTTTAGTAACCTTCTCAGTGTAACAGAGTATTTCTTAAGTGGTTCAGAAAAGATTTAGGGTGAGCGGTAAAGAAGCACCGGCAGAATGCATGAATTAACAAACTTAGAAAGTAGAGACTGAGTGATACCAGATCGTCTTTACTTCTTTACATAGAAGGAAGTTAATTAAAAATAGTAACTAGAGGGCCACTAGTAAATGAGCACTAGTATGGGACTCTGCGTTAATATGCAGCACTTGAATTCCGCTTAGCTACTTGGGAAAACTCTCTGTGCTGAGTCAATCAGGGAACATCGCCAATAAGACCATTCCAAAACCAGTAAAATGACAGTTTGGTGTTTAGGTTTTATTGATCTGGTTGGGATATAATACTAATTGACATGAGTGGTTTTCAGATACTACTTTTTTCTAGTAAGTAGTATCTACCAACACAGGACTGCACATATTCAGTGGAAAAGAATTCCAAAAAATGAAGAATTAAGTTTGTGGTTAGAGTTGTTTGCAAGCCAAAGTTGTAGACACCAATTTACTTCAATGTTTACGTCTCAAATGGGAGTCATGACAAAAAAGAATAACAAAGCTTAACCATGAGGAACTCGCCAGCCAATCACAGCAGACTTAGCGTGGGCGGATACGATTCGCAGATATATATCAACGAACTGTCTAAGAAACGGCAACAAACAGATGACAGAATAACCTTCAGCAGGAGAAAAACCAATCGGAAGACCTTGCTTCTCTGCTAACAATAACGCTAATAATAATGCACATAAAAATCTATAAATATCTGTCGGTTTTCTCGATAAACGATCCTGTTGTCTGGCCCTTGTCTTCTGTCGTTACTACTTTACGAAAATCTGTGGTTTTCACTAACTTTCCTTCTGAAACACGTCAGTAAAGAATTCCTTATGGAAATAATACAGATGCCTGTAAGCTTAAAATATTGAATACATTCGAATAGTTGTAATGGTTTGTTTCCATCTCTTTTCTTTGTTTTTTTTTATTGTAAAGTGGTTTACCCATATGAAACCAATTGATTTCTATGAGAGGGCTACAATCTTGCTACAATTTTTGACACCATTTAGTCTACTCTGTATCATACAATCCATGAGCAATTCAATATTGGAAACTCTACTATTTGCAGTTATTTTCTTGTTAAATAAGTGAGTTTAAGTAGAAAATTTTCGTGTCGTTTTTGCAAAAATTACTATTTTTTGACGGCTGAATCACTAAGTAGACCTACTGACTGGTTCCAGCCTAGAACTTTGCACAGAAGGGCACACACAGATAGAGAAGAGAGTAAAGAGAAGTTCAAAAGCGACATAATAAACAGAAGTGTGGGGGAGAAAGATTGGTAACATGGAAGAACAGCAGGGTGTTACTAGAAATGACAGATCATAAAGAGTGAATGCATTCGTGCCAGCCATTGGGAACGATTTTCAGCCATATCACAAATTGTCTTCAAACTTCATTGGTTCTTATCATCCCGAGGACCCCAACTAGTTAAGTAGTCTTCATCGCTCTACACTACCCAAATCAACTGTCAAAGGTTTCATGAACTGGTGTGAAGTCTTAGTTTGACCACTACTAAATCTTCCTCAACCACATCCTATGTCAGATAGCATTTCCCGTAGAGAAAGGAGATGATTAGGTATGCGTAACACATGTCCTAACCATCTCAAAGTCAAATAAAAGTGTGGATCAAAATAGATCAGTTCGAATCCTACCATTTTTAATTTTTCCAAAACACAAGAGAAGACAGTTAATGAAGAGAGAAAGGAAACTAGTCAAAGGATCAATCGAGATCATGATTATGTCCAAAGTTTTAAAAACCTCAGTTATTGGTAACATGTTCTAGAGTTAAATGTTCGTCTCTTGGATGCCAAGCGAAACACAGCTTCAACAATACACAAATACTCACAAACATTCATCTCTTATTTATATGATCTCCTCCATTTCATCATCGGGGGCCTAAATCTTCCCTTTTCATTTGGGTTCCAATTGATGGTGTGTTTGAAGTGTGATATCACACAGCCGTCTACTCAGCTTGGGTTCAATTCATCCGCATACCTTTTAGGTGACTGGTTCTTTTTACATTCGTTTTCATAGTTCGTTGTTGTTTATTCTTTCTCGTCGGCCATCGGATCTACAATATCGAGCCGGCAAAGAACCATCCGTTAGTGAAAGTTATCAGTTACAATGCATTGGTTCTTATTAGTTGCGACTTTATCAAACAATACAAGATATTGAACTGAAACTTTCATTGTGAATTAATCCAATACTTTAGGAGTTATTACGTAACATCGTGTAGTAACATTGTTTAATGTATGTGTGGAATACAAAATTATTATGTTATAAAGTTCGCTTCCAAATACAGGCATTTAGTCAAATATAAACAGACCCTACCATAAATCCGAATTTTCACTTCACCTTCAGTGGTCATCAGCCATTATAATACCAATGACACGAACCAAAGATAAATTCTCCGAATCTACACGTAACTACTTGTTAGTAGTGTAAAATAATAAGTGAAATAATTGTGAGGGACTAAGTTCACTAATCAGGGGTGATATATACTTTAGTGGATCAACGGTAGAATGCTCTCCAGTCAAGCAAATAGTCCGGGTTCGATTCATCGCCAACACACTTCTAAACTTCGCCTAACCTCTAGTAAGCCCAGTAGAGAGAGAATGTTGGGCTAGCAATCCCACAGGGTGAAGAAGCCCCGCCGCTACTGAAAATTCTAAGCTCACACTTGATGCTCTATGTTCCACTCAGAATGCAAGGAAGTGTAGAAGAATAAGAATGAGAAGAAATTCTCTAATTATGAATTACGAAGTTGGTGGTGAAGATTCACCAGGGTTTCTTTTCGAATCCTGAAATAAATCCCACTCATTGTATTTTATATCTGTGATTCAACCGAAGGTAATTAAGGAAGTATGTATATGCTATTTTACTATTTATCTTACTTTCCTGGTTGTCTCCTGCGACATCACATCAACCACTAGTGCTTCCTAGCCAGATTTAGATGATCTAAACACCGTACACCCCTTTCGCTCGTTTTGGGCAGAGCCTTTCAGCGGCCTAACTGATTCGACTTAGCTCGGAGAGCCCGATGTTTTGAACTGATTCGGCTGTCTGACCTGAGTCAAGCCGAGTACACCGATAGTGAGCTGGGCTGTGAACGCCAGACAACTATTTAGACCTATTAGGAAAACAGGTTATGAAAGACAAATGATAATTGAGGAAATCTCGGAGAAAAGCAGCGCCTTGATTAACTATCAGAATAAATGGTTGGAAAGTTGGAGGAGACGCTCTGAGATCTACAATCCCGTTCAACTTGCCCCAACTTCCAGCACCTACTTGAATGGGATGTTGACATCAATCCTCTAACCGTAACTGAGGTTACGGTAACAGTCTCTAATCTAAAGCGATGCAAAGCATTAGGACCTTATAGGATGGCGCCAAAGGTGTTTAAGGATGGCGGAGACAGTTTACTGCCTACGTTAGCTAAGGTACTAGGTAGCGTCTGGGAATCAGAGGAAGTCCCGTCGGGTTGGTGTAAGTCATTGATTATCCCCATATACAAGAAGGGAGACAAGTCTTCCTGTGATAATCGCAGGGGGATTAGCTTGACCAATAAGGTATCTAAAATTCTAGACTCGATAATAATGTGTAGACTAAGTCTGATGACCACACTTTGAGCACAATTCATTGGCACTCATAATCATATCAAGGTACTACTCACACACAACTTTCCTGCTTCACTTATATACATGAGTAGAAAGTGATGATTAGACATTTGAATAAAATCAGTGTAAGACAAAGTACATTCAGAAATGATATGTGTTATCAATAAAATACAGTAAGATGGGAAATAACTCGTTTTTTACAGTAGAAATTTGTAACTTGTTAGAATATTATAATGTGAGTTGAAGTACAATTTGAAGTTATTTATTATCCTCCCCTGATTTGACTGACTGGTGATAATAATATCTTCCGTATCTCTGGTATTTGCACTGACTCATTTCTGTTGCATGTGTTGGGTGTAGGGAGACTCGATGAACCAGGCAGGATTCAGTAATCAATCTCTCTTGCTGTTCACCTACCTATATTACTGTCCCACCCTATTGTGTGGTTGTGTTAATGCATGCAATGCAATACTATTGCTGAGGTTTTTTTTCTTAATTACTTGTCTGTTTTTGTGGAGTCAATCATTCTAACCTTAGCTAAATTCTTGTTTTCTGATAACCTCACTACTTCCAAATATCTAATCAATTTTTACTCATGTATATAAACGAAGCAAGAAAGTTATGCGAGTAGTACCTTGATATAATTATGAGCAGCGATAAATTGTGCCCGAAACGTCTTCATCAGTAAATATTACTGTATAACAACACTGTGTGATTATATCCAAATAAAATTTTATCCATAATGGAGTTATACTCCACTGTGGGGTTGTGATACGGACAATATGCTCCAACGGAATATTATTCTCACATATTCTCACAGTTCAGTACCGCATTAGCAACAGAATACTATATGTATATTTGAACATTCTATTTCATGTCGTTTAATGTAAACCAAAAACACACGCTCAGTAATTGGTCAACGAATATAAACTGCATATACATAAACAGCGGTTTGATCACTTAAAAAACACCTTGGCTTCCTTGTCTTGCCTTCTGCTGTTACACTACCCCAATGCTCAGGTTTTATCCTTATATCAATGATACAACAATCACATGATTCTGTTAGATATTTTAATTTTTTAAATAGTTCTTTAGATAGATCATATGTTGGTAATCCTGGAAGCGAAACGATTGATCGTAAGGGAATGCTTAGTTTGTGTAGTTTAAGTATACCGTAAAATCGAGGCTGAACCAGTCCATTAGATTTCATTCGCCATCGACCTTGTTGTGGAATTTGTTCTGATTTCATTCGTTTATTTAATGTTATTTTGACCTTAAAGTCTAATGTTTGTACAGAGTTTCTCGTCAGCTGTTGACAAGGAGAATTCGAATAATTTCATTACCAACTAACACCTGCACTGAAGACGTTGTCTACATGAAGGACAACGAAAGCTTTGCATTTATATATATATATATATGCAAAACTTGGGCACTATGGTAGTAAGTAATTCCATATTGGTTTGCTTATTAGATGTATCACACAACGAGGGAAACAGTATTATTTACTGGATGACGACGCCTTTCGAACACAACTTATTATTGTTCATAATCATAACATCAATTAGAATCACACGACTTCGAAACTTGAGTTCCATAGTTTTCTTTGTTCTCTCCTGTTTGTCGTCGTTGGGGTAGTAGAATTTTCCAGATATCGGGGACAGGTGTTGAATCATTCCTATTGCACGTATTTGCAGTTGATTCGATAAATAAAGCTTCTGTTGTCAATCTCTCCCTCCATTCACTCTGTTACATTAGATTTTAAAACTGTCATCTTAACATAATTATTATTATCACTATCACTAGTATTGTGGTGAGAGCTGGCTGCTAGCCAAAGTTGGTAGACAGTAATTGACGTCAATGTTTATGTCCCCAATATTGATGGTGGTGAGAAAATGAGAACAAAGGCTTTGCGTAGGCGGATACAGTTAGCATATGAATGATCTGACACAGCCACAAAGAGATGCAAGGTTAACTTTCTGTGAGAAACAACCAATCAAAAGACTGTATCTTCTACTAAGAATAATCTACAATAATGTACATTGAAATCTATAAATATGTGTTGATTTTCCTTAATAAACGATCTGTTGCCTGGCCCTTGTCTTCTGTTGTTACACTACCATTATCATAATAACAGCAATATTAATGACGACATGCAAGTAAAACATGCGCAAGATAATAACAACACCAACAAAAAGGAATCCAAATAATCAGCAGTACTTCCTCCCATACAAAGAAGGAAACTCGAAAACCTTACGCAGAATTCTTAAAAGTACAGTAATAAAAGTGGCATTCAAACCCACAAACTCAATTAGAAACAAACTTTGTCGGTCGAAGGAACCTGCCAGTGGAGCCTTTAAAACAAAACAATTTAGTTTATCTAATACCTTGCCTGCAATGATTGTCAGGTCAAATACATAGGTCAAAGTAGTAGAACAAGGGCATTAAGTCAGACTAGCCGAGCATAAAAACCTAGCAAAATCTAGATTAGTTGACCCGAATAATATAAGAAATCTAGAGAATAGTTCAGCTGTACCACTCACTACATGCAATTACACACAACCATACAGAATAGAATGGGATAAGATGACAGTTTTAAAATCCAATGTAACAGGGTGAGTGGAGGGAAGGATTGACGACAGCGGAAGCTTTGTTTATCGAATCAACTGCAAATACGTGTAACAGGAATGATTCAACACCTGTCCACCCAGACATCTGGAAATTTCTACCACCCCAACGACGACAAATAGGAGAGAACAAAGAGAACCATAAAACTCAAGTTTCGAAGTCGTGTGATTACAATTGATATGATTATGAAGGATAATAAATTTTGTTCGAAACGTCATTCAGTAAACAGTGATACTGTTTCACTGTGTGATACATCTAATAAACAAACTAATATGTAAAGCTTCGCAATTAAATCAATCAGCTCATAGAACACAACTAAATCAGAATCATCCATCTAAGCTGCAAATCTTCATATTTATTGTACGTACGTCATATATATTTTTTCATTTTTGATTTGATGATATGCCACTTCTTAGGCGGCTGAAGAAAAATTATGAAATATGAAAACATAAGCTGTGTTTTATTCTCCCACCAATAAATTTCTTCTAGCTTTGTTAAATCTAAAATAAATTCAACTTGTAGTGAAAAAATTCAAAGCTCTATCGACTTCCACACATTCAAAGAGAAGCTCAACCTTGTCATTCTATTGACTGAACTCTACGATGGTAAAACCTGGTGGCCAGTGGTCAAAGTCTTATGGTATATTAGGTTTTTCTTGCTAGTGATGAGTGAAAATTATATTGATGTTGTTATTATTATTATTATTAATATTCTTATTCTTATTATTCGTTTCAGTCATGCAATATCAAGAATAGTGATTGCATTACCATTGCGAGAAAATTTCGCTTTACCATTCTGGTGGTTGCGTATGTTAGCATTGAATATAATGTTAAAACAAACAGATACAATAGTAAGTTTTTATGATCTTTGGAATTTTCAATGTTATCGTTATTAATATTATTATTACCTTTAGTTCCTAGAGGAACATAGGGCTTCAGCTGCACGTCTGCATGGCGTTCGGTTCTCCACCAAAGTTTTCCTCACCTAGCTCCACATCTGTCCACATGCCTTCATCTCCTCTTCAAATGACCTCCTCCATGTCACCCTCGCACTGCCGACCAACTCGCCGTTTCCCATTCGGGTCCCAATCTAGCGATACCTTGGCGTGTGATATCACCTGATGGTTTTCTCAGAGTATGGCCAATCCATCTCCATTTCTTCCTGCATATTTGTTTCACAATCGGTTCCTGCTGGGTTGGTTTGCTCCCGGAAATCACTCCCTGTTGCTGATCATTTCTGGCCGGCCATCTGACCTTGAGTTGTGTTGAGTGAAGACAACTGTTAACGAAGGTCTGTAGTTTGTTCAAAATGCCCTTCGTGATGAGCTGGCTGAGTCTCTGATCCGTATAGTGAGTAGCACTGACTTCACATTGGAGTTGAAAATCCGGATCTTATTTTCATTTTCATGCTGAGTAGTGCTGTTGATCTCCACACAGACTTGAGAGTAATGAAAGCTTGTCTTGCTTTCCCGATCCTCGCTGCTTTGACATCCTCATCAGTTCCGCCTGTAGTTGAAACGATGCTTCCCAGGTAGGTAAATGTTATTGTAGTACATTATTATTCCTTTAAACTCCGGGTATTTTGTGAATCTCTGTTAAGCCGTATAACCTGGGTGTCACCATGTCGACAGGTTTCAGTGTTTCATACAAGGCAAGTGAAATATGGCCTTGTTTTTTCAACTTTTTTAAAGATTTTTTAAGCTCTCTCACTTATTCCTTTTATCCGTTCAAATGAGACACTGAAGGTGATCATAGGAAGTTAACTCTCAGCTAACAAGTAGAGTGTACTTGGAACTCCGTTATTGTCTATCCTACCGAAGTCCATATGATTGTTGTTACATTCATTGTTTCTATTATTATTATTATTATTACTACTATTATTGTTCCCTTCACTTCCGAGCGGAACACTGGGCCTCAACAGTACACCTCTACTTTATCCTGTTTTCTAAGGTCGTTTTTAGTTGGACCCCCCATGACCACCAGTAGTCTCTCATCTCCTCCTCACAAGATCTCCTCAATGTCACCCTCGCACTGAAGACCCACTCGTCTCTACCCATTTGGATCCCAATCGAGTGGTGCCCTGGCGCACGATGTCTCTTCAGCATATACCCAATCCATCTCCATCTTATTTTGCACATTTGTTGAGCAATCGGTTTTACTGTTACTAATTCCTTCTATTCATCGATCTGATCTTCAGTATGGAGTTGGAGAAGGCAGCTATTGGAAATATTTCTCGTGATGCGCCAAGTTTCTTATCCGTATAGAAGCACGCATTTAACATTGGCGTTGAAAATTCGAATTTTGTTCTTTAGGCTGAGTGCAGAAGGCTTTCAAACGGAATTCAGAGTGTTGAAGGTTTGCCTTGTCTTTCTGATTCCAGTTTTGACATTCTCATTCACTGTTACCGCCTGTAGTTGAAAAGATCCTGACTAGACAGATGAGTGAAGGAAATGACCGCCTTCAAATTTATCTTGCTGATAGGGATTACTGATGGTTGTTTTTATTACTGTTGGTTGGTTATCTTCATCACCTACCTCCGTCTTCTCAATGTTCACTTGAAGGCAAAAGTTTTTGATGCCTTTTTAACCAGTTTGTTGCTTTTCGCCTGGAAGTCCTGTAAGCAAGCAGTAGCGCTAAGTAGCACAGAAAAGACCTAAATGATGAAATAAAACGGATAGAAGAGGCGTTGGTGTTAAATAACTAACTATCCTATAAAATTCATTAGGAAGATCGAAAAAGGTCAAAAGCAAATTAAAAATAATTGTGAGACTAGTAGTGATAACATAAATGAGAGAGAATATAAGGCATCTACTGTTATACCATATAAGCAGGGGACATCTGAAACCCTCCCTACGTAGGATTCAAAATAAAGCAGGAATTAGGGTGGCATTCAAACCTACAAAATCACTCAGGTAGGACAAGCTCTGTAGACTAAAAGATCCGGTGGACCCAATTAAACAAAATAATATAATTTACAAAATACCTTGCAATGACTGTGAGGTCAACTATATAGGTCAAACTAGTAGATCGGGGGTAATCAGATTGTCGGAACATAAGAATTTGGCTAAGGTAAGAATGATTAACCCCACAAAGGTAAGTAATTCAGTAAAAAAACCTCAGCGATTGCACTGCATACATTAACACACAACCACACACACAATAGTGTGGCAGAGGGTTAAGATTCTAAGAAGTAATCTATGTAAGTGGAGAGAGAGAAGTTGATTACTGAATCCTCACTGGTTCATTGAGTCTAGACCCAATACATGTAACAGAAATGACTCAATGCAAATACCAGAGATATGGAAGATATTACTACCGCAAGTCAAATCAGAAGAGGACAATAAATAATCTTAAAATTCTATTTCAGTTCACATACATGATAATATTCTAACAAGTTGCTTATTATGACTATAAAAAACACTCGTCTTATTTCCCATCTGATTGTATTTGATCAATAACACTCATATTATTATTTCTGAATGCACATTATCTTATATTGACTTTTATTCAAATGTCTAATCATCAATTCCACTCATGCATATAAATGAAGTAAAAAGTTGTGTGAGTAACTTGACATGATTATGAAAGGCAATAATTTGTGGTCGAAACGTCATCAGTAAATATTACTTACTGTATAACACTGTGTGATCCTATCAAAATAAAATCTTATCTGCAATGGAGTTGTACTCTACCACAGTGCCCAAGTTTTATACTTAAATGTAAGTCCTGGAGTTTGCGTGATATTAGATATAAGTCGTCTACGAAATCCAGATCTTCTAGAGTCTTAACTCCATTATAGATAAGATTTTATTTTTGATAAAATCACACACTGTTATACAGTAATTTTAACTGATGACCACGCTTCGAGCACAATTTATTGTCACTCATAATCATATCAAGTCACTCACACAACATTCTTGCTTCATTTATATACATGAGTAAAAAGTGATGATTAGACATTTGAATGAAAATCAATATAAGATAAAGTACATTCAGAAATAATATTAGTGTCATCAATAAAATAAAATAAGATGGGATATGAGATGTTTTTATAGTAAAATAAATAAGTAACTTGCTAGAATGTGAATTGAAGTACAATTTAAAATTATTTATTATCCTCTGATTTGACTGACTGGTGGTAATAATATCTTCCATATCTCTGGTATTTGCATTGAGTTATTTCTTTTGCATGTGTTGGGTGTAGACTCAATGAACCAGTGAGGATTTAGTAATCAACCTCTCTCTCCATCTACCTATATTACTTTTTAAAATTTTGACTCTGTCCCACCCACCCCATTGTGTGATTGTGTGTTAATACATGCAGTGCAATTGATGAGCTCTTTTCTAAATCACTGTCTTTGTGGCGTCAGTCATTCTAACTTTAACTAAATTCTTATGTTCCGACAATCTGATTACCTCCGACCAACTAGTTTGACCTATGTAGTTGACTTGACTCACAGTCAATGAAAGATATTTTGTAAATTATATTACTTTGTCTAATTGAGCCAACCGACAGGGTCCTTTAACCTATAGAGCTTGTCCTACCTGAGTGAGTTTGTAGGTTTGAATGCCACCCTAATTCTTAGAGTCTTCTCAACGGTCGTCCAGCGTGTTCCTTACCTCTAACTCTCGACACACAGTCTGACGGATAATCCAGCCCATCACTATTAGGAATATCATTATCGGTGATAATAAGCACTCGGTTTGTCTTACTCTTGTATTGACTTCACAAGTTTCTTTGGGTTTTCCGTTGTGGACCACTTGACACGTGGCACTGTCATATAGCCAGCTGTTGAATGAAGTCGATAAAGATTTGAGGCTGTAGTGTTGAATTAGTTTCCAAATTACTTATCGGTCAACTCTGTCTGTCGAAGGCCTTTCCGGAGTCAGTGAAACAGAAGTAGTGGTTTGACTGCCATTCTATGCCTTGTTCGATGATGATGCTTAGAGTTGCAATTTGATCACCACTCATCAAATTAATCATTCTCTCCAAGTTATGTAATTCCATATTAGGCGGTTAAAGAATCAGGACTTAGGTTTCATGCTTATTAACACTCTTCATCAAGGCATGTCTTGAAACTCGAAAGGATTGATATCTTCTCAGCAATTCTAATCGATATCACCTAGTGCTGCAGTCGGAGATGTTACCACTGAGAGCTAGCTATTCGGACTCATGAACAGCCTCCTGTTATACAATAATGGAAACATTGAAAGCCCATTTGGGAGTTACTGTTATCATATGTCTAATCTTTAATTCAATACATTTATTTTTAAAAAAAAGAGTGAGACGTCGTGATCAGTGGGTTTCCACCGAGTCGGATGCGAGGACAAATACTCGTCAATGACATTAGCTTGTGGTGACATTATATATATATCGAGAACTATCATTTGATTTCGTCCAAGTGGCTAGCTCGTCTTGTAACTTGAAGGTTCTAGGTTCGACCCCTAGAAATGAGGTCATGAGTGCATACTGATGAAGAGTCCCAAAGTGGGACGAAACAGCCATCCTTTACTCTAGTATCAGTTTTTAATGGTTCTCTAACATCTATTTTTTAAAACAATGTCATCAATATACTAGAAACTAACTAAAATTTCTGACTTTAATTATACAGTAATTATTATTAATACTATTCTTTTTTCTCACAGAGATCTCGAAACATAATAACGACATGCGTAGTAACGGTGTTTGCCCTAAGCACTTCCCTATTCTGCATTTTTTGGCATTTTAGCCAGTTCGTTCTGTTAATTGAAGTAATCTTTATGAATGTATTACATTATTTGGGATTTTTAAACGATGACCTGGTAGGTTACTTTTCTATTCTGCGTAATTTAATACTAATACTACTACTAATAATAATGATAATAAGAATAATGTCAGTTAGTAATTTATGTTTGTTTTTATTTAGACACCACGTACTAACTAGTGTAATGTGTCTAGTTCTTCGTTTGATGCAGACAAGCTCCAAGTCGCTAGGAGGCCCGTCATCATGGTGCACTCTAAACTGTCAATATTAAATGGTTGGCGGCTGTGGGAAGGAATCCCTGTCTGGACCAGATTTCATGCTTGTTGGCACTCACCAGTCAACAAGGCGTATCTGCAACCACCTTGAAGGAACTCATGTCGTCTGTGAGATTTGAACTTGTGTCGCCCAGTACTGCTGTAATCAGAGACGTTACCTCTGAGAGCTATTCAGCCTTGTGACTAACCTCCTGTAGGACTGTAATGGGTACTTCTAATCCTTTGTTTGGTGCAAAGTGAATTCTATCAGTGGTAATATCTCTGACTGCAGCACTCGGTGACATGGGTTTGAGTGTCATGAGGGATAGGAGTTCCTCCAAGGTAGTTGCAGATACACCTTGCTGACGAGTTCCAACGAGTACGAAACCTGGGTTCAAGGCTTCCTTCTAATCGCCTCCTACCATCTCACAGTAATGTGCTGCTTTCGGCGACTAGTGTGTACACAGTCTGTTTCATTTCATTTGAACCGGTCAGTTGAATGCACATAGTTCTTGGTAGGTGATATGTTTAGGCTTTTATTTTTGATGATGAATGTGAACGGATTCCAAGCAGTAAGAATAGAACTTTGGTACTGTGGTAGATAATAGTAGTAAATATTATAATCGATTTGAACAAAGCAAGAACTACAGTTATAGCAGAATAAAATGGTACCGTCTTTTATTTCGTTGCCTTCTCGTCAGCTGCTTACAGGGTAAAGACATTATTAAATGTATCTACAAAAACAATTTTAACATACTTGCACAGAGTTCATTTTTAAACAAAAATCGGTCAATCAATATACGCATACACTAATATATATATATATATATATGCAATATTAAACACTATTCCGAACAATAATAATCATACACAATGGAAACTTTTCAGCATTTCGCATTCGAATGAAAGAGAGATGAAAATATCAAGTTACCAGGTTGGCAAAGAAAGACTAATAACTGTTTCTTTCTGAATGCACAAATCAGGTTTCAGGCGTTTGATGGAGATGGCTTCAGTAGACATGAGGAGAATTGAGCTCTTTTGCCTATTGATAATTTTGAAAGACTTTGCGACGTTCACCCCATGACCCGTATCAAAAAGATGCCTGGCGATGGTACTGTTTAGAGTATTTGTTCCCTTGAAACATAAACTTTTTGGTACATGTTCAGAAAATCGTAGATATGCTCTTCTTTCTGTTCTTCCAATGTAACTGCTCCCGCAGACACATGTATATTAGTATAAACAGTTGGAGTTAACATGAGAAGGATATCTATCGATTTTTAATTGCATCAAAGAGCAAGTTGTTCGACAGACGGCAACGAGCTTAGCTGCAGGATAGGCTAGTGACACACTCAGTCTTCTGTTGATCATCGCTGAAATGTTTTCACCTTTATAATCAAGCTGAAAGTAGATTGGCTTTTTCTCCACTGTGATTTGTTTTACATTTGTGACTTCAGATCTTCCATACTTGTTGATGAACCTTTGAGGGTACCCATTGCTCTTCATTATCTTTTCAAGAAATGCAATTTCTTCCTCTAATTTCTCTGTAGAGCATATTCTTCTCGCTCTATAGTACAGAGCCTTGACTAGACCGCGTTTAAAGCTATTTGGACAAAAGCTATTAAAATATAATTATTGTCCTTTCCATGTGGGCTTTCTATAAATTGACTTTTGAAGACCACCGTCTTCTAGGCGTTCCATGGCAGTGTTGAGGAAGTGAAACTTTTCGATTTATTTCAAACAATAATAACTACACAGTATGGAATTTTCAGCATGAAGTAATTTTGTGTATGGTGACTATCAGTGGAATCCTATTTTGTGGGACTCATCATCTGGATGTACCCGCATTCCCTAGTGGGTAAGTGATAGTGTTCCCACTGAGGTTCGAACCCAGTACCCATCGTTTCAAACGTCAAGGCGTTATCCACTAGACCACTTAGGCCACAGGAGTCACCTCTTGTGCAACAGGTATCCTGGATTCCACTGCTAGTCACGATCCACCAAATGACTTCAAGTTAAATCCTTGTACATAGTCGCAGCATCCTCACAAGGAGCAGAAAAGTCAGCAGGGGCTGAACACTTCAGTTTAATCAATCAAAAGGGAATTTAATGGAATTTTCAACATGTGTATATGTTAACTGATTAAAAATGCCCATTAAAATTTTTCAAAAGAATGGATATTGAACAAAGAATACTCTTTTCGATAACTTCTAGTGAATGAATGAATGAATTAGTGTTATGAACAACATTAATGTTGTTTAAATAACATCGAATCAATAATAATAATATCAGTGGATTACAGTTCAATGGCATCAATATAACAATAAACTGAATGTCAGGAAAATTAGGAAAGATAATATTACAAATTAATGGATTTGTACTCTCTACTGAAGGCCAGGGCAGTAGTAGTGGCTGCCTGGACTTGCTTCTTTTGCACACAAAGCACTGGTTGTTTGAGGAGAATTGCAATAGCCTCCGCTGTTTGGAACATGCGGTATCTCGATGTTTTTGGCAATTTATTAGGCACCCGGTATATTATAGAGAAGGATTCTTCTACGCTGGCTTTGTGACCGGTTTGCACCAGATGGTTTAATATCGAGCTGTTAATAGTTTTAACTACACCTTTACTTAGCCATACTGGAAGATGTTCTCGAGCGGGCACGAAAAATCAAGTTTCTAGAGCAACGGCCGATATAACTCGCTCCACAAATAGGCGCAGTTGAATTGGTAGATAAAACTGGAAGTGGCTAGTCCAGGTACTTCATCTTTCAATCAAGGAATCACTATCGGTCATGTAGAGAGTAAGAGATCATAGAAATACGAGACAAGCTATTTTACATAAAATCAAAGGGGGGATTGTGAGGTTAAAGTCAAAGATTACATAGAAAAATGAGAGAGAGAGAATAAAGACATCCAGTTTCCACGATGGGCAAGGAAGAACTGATAACTGCTTCTTTCTGAACGCATAAATCAGTTTCCAGGCGTTTCAAAGAGGTTTCTTTCATCAAACTTGAGGAGATTTATGCCTCTTTTGTCTATTGATAATTTTAAAGTATTTTGCGACGTCCACCTTATGACCCGTATCAAGGATAAACCTGGGATTGGCACTATTGATAGCGTTTGTTCCCTCGAGATGTAGGCTTTTCGTTAAATGTTGAGAAAATCGGAGGTACACTCTTCTTTCTGTTCTCCCAATGCAACAGCTGCCACAGATACCTGTAAATTTGTAAACAGAGTTAGAGTTAACATGAGAAGGGGGTTATCTGTTGACTTTTGATCACATCGACGTAGAGCATTTTGTCCGGTAGACGAGAACCAACTTAGCTGTAGGATAGATTCTAGCTTCAGGCTGTAATCAGTTGATGTGGAACCAACGAAATAAGCAATAATGGTACCATCTTCTTATTCTGCACAAACTACTGCTATTGTTGCTTTATTCAAATTCATATAGGAGAATAAATGTATAAAGATTCATAGAAGGATTAGACATAGTTTGTATTTTATATTATTACTAATTCCTTTAATTCCTAGAGGAACATGGGGCTTCAGCTGCACGTCTCCATTGCGTTCGGTTCTCTGACAACGTTTCACCTGACTCCAGGTCTGCCCACATGCTTTCATTTCCTCTTCACATGACCTCCTCCAGTCACCCTTGGACGAAAAGCTCGCCGCTTCCCTTTCGGGTTCCACTCGAGCAATGGCTTGTCTAGTGATATCACTTGATGGTTTGTTTTCTTAGAGTATGGCCAATCCATCTCCATTTCTTCCTGCATATTTGTTTTACAATCGGTTCCTGCTGGGTTGGTTCGCTCCCAGAGATCTCTGCTTGTTGCCGATCTGACATTGAGTTGTAGTGAGCGAAGACAGCTGTTCATGAAGGTCTGTAGTTTGTTCAAAATGCCCTTCGTGATGAGCTGGCTAAGTCTCTGATCCGTATAGTGAGTAGCACTAACTTCACATTGGAGGTGAAAATCCGGATGTTTTCTTCATTTTCATGCTGAGTGCTGTTGATCTCCACACAAACTTGAGAGTAGTGAAAGCTTGTCTTGCTTTCCCGATCCTTGCTGCTTTAACATCCTCATCAGTTCCGTCGGCCTGTAGTTGAAACGATGCTTCCCAGGCAGGTAAGTAACGGAGGTTGTTTCCTTCAGATTTCCCCCATTTATGCTGGCTGATTGTTGTCTGTGGTTGTTGTTGTTGCTGTTGGTAGTGTTGGACAGGAACACCAATATAAAATAAGATATAAAATTAAAATAAAATAAGTAATAATGGTACCATCTTCTTATTCTGCACAAACTTCTTTTGTTGTTGCTTTATTCAAATTTTTATAAAGGGAAAATAAATTGTATAAAGATTCCCAAAAGGATTAGACATAGTTTATAACTTACAATCTCTTATTCTACTCACAAATTTTCATTTCTTTTTCAATTTCAGTGTCTTGCACTATCACATGGCAATTTATTAGCCCTTGGTTTAACAAGTTTCGTCCAAGCCGGCTCATTTTTCTTAATCACTTCACCGTGTGCAGTTATTGTACTAACAAATTTCATTTTTATTGATGAACAGTGTTCACATAACACAAGAGAGATCAATCGAATACCAGGTCGAAATAGACAATGGCGTCATGTAAGTGATTAGTTGTCAGTCAGTTCTGTGATTAGACACTAGTCAGTTAGTAACTAGTGTAATGTGTGTGTGTGTAGTCCTTGGAGTTTGGTGCAGACTGAATTCTATCAGTCAGTCAGTCAAGTTTGCAATGTGGCCATCAAAAATGCCACTAGATGGCTAGCCATCACGATGTACTGCACTGCACTGCACTGTGAATTGTTGATATTAGATGGTTGAAGGCAATCAGAACAAAGAAGCCTTGGACAAGTATTATTATTATTGTTTCCTTTAATTCCTAGAGGAACATAGGGCTTCAGCCGTGCGTCTCCATTGCGTTCGGTTCTCTGCTAGAGTCTTCACCTAGCTCCAACTCTGCCCACACGCTTTCATTTCCTCTTCACATGACCTCCTCCAAGTCACCTTTGCATTGATGGCCAAGTCGCAGCTTCCCTTTCGGGTTCCACTCGAGCAATGGCTTGTCTAGTGATGTCACTTGATGGTCGGTTTCCTCAGAGTATGTCCAATCCACCTCCATTTCTTCCTGCCTATTTGTTCCACAATCGGTTCCTGGTTGGTTCGCTCATTGCCAGAGATCTCTGTTGCTGATCTTTTCTGGCCGGCCATCTGATCTTGAGTGGTATTGAGTGAAGACAACTGTTAATTAATGTCTGTAGTTTGTTTGAGATGCTCTTTATGACGCGCAGTGCAAGTCTCTAATCCATATAGTAAGTAGCACTGACTTCACATTGGAGTCGAAAATCCGGATCTTATTTTTCATGCTGAGTAGTGCTGTTGACCTCCACACAGACTTGAGAGTAATGAAAGCTTGTCTTGCTTTCCCGATCCTCGCTGCTTTGATATCCTCGTCAGTTCTGTCGGCCTGTAGTTGAAACGATGCTTCCCAGGTAGGACAAGTATTGAAGAAATATTAAATAATTATTTTGTAAAGTTTACATTCCTTTCTTTTTCTTCTTCTTCCTATCCTGCCTATTTCTAGCTTCAATCATTTATACGGTACTTTGGTAACCTATGGGGTCGAATAGGCTTTGCGGTCGCGCTATATGGATTATTAAGTGTAAGCTTTGAGGTGTACATATGTAGCTTTTATTTTTTATTTATACAAAATTTTATCTATGTATTCACTGACTGTAGCACTGATTACACAGCAGATCGAAGGTGACAACAGTTACTCATCGAAGAAGAAGTGGTCGCGCTATATTGTGAATTGGCAGAAGTTAGAATTGATGGGTTGGCTGGCTGGTCATTGGATCGGCGTCCCAGTGGCTGTTTAATGGTCTACGAGCTAACTCACCTTGTAACTAGAAGGTCCTGGGTTCGAACCATGGTGGTGGATGCGTACTGGTGAAGAATCCTAAACTAGGACGGAGGAAACAGCTGTCCAGTCCTCCAGTGGTGGTTTTCCAATGCTTCTCTAGCTGATGTCAGCTCATAATGAAATCCTTGAAATGGGAAAAGACGTTTATTTTCAAATCCCGCTCCACTTTTTAATATAATAATCGCACATTGAGAGACATATGCATCGGTCAATCAGTAGGTCGATGGTACAATGGTAGAATGCTCACCAGTCATCCTGCTGATCTGCGTTCGTTTCCTGACCGATTTACTCCTACACTTCGTGTAGTATACTGGTCGATAGAAAACCTGAAAGAGAGGTTAGGTTAACAGTGCCATTCTATGAAATCACAATACTGTCAGTGCTATTGAAACATCAGACCTCAAGTCCTTGAAGCCCTATATTGCACTAGGAATGCACCAAATGAATTTTGTTTTTATTCCTTCACGTTTCCATTGGAACATAGCGGGCTTCAAGCTAGAGGCTTGAAGTTTCTGTAGCATTGGTGATTACTTTTTTACAGGATAGGGTTGCTAGCCTCATGCCCAGCCTTCCCTCTTTACCGGCTTTACTGCTGGCTTAGCGAGGTAAAAGAGTGCTGTGTCGGCAGGGAATCGAACTCCGAACCACCTGCGTGGTTGGCGAGCACTCTATCGCTGTGCCACCAGTGCACCACCAAATGAATGGTTACATTTAATTAGAATGGTAAGGGACTGTGCAGTCCATTGGAAGCCGATCACTCGGTACTGTGCTATAAGCTACATTTATTGTATAAATCCTGGTGTTACTGCACAATTGCCCAGATTGAATTACGTAGAGGGCGATTGAAACCTGTATTCCATTGCCTGAAAGTCGACCAGTTTAAGCCGTTCGAGTCATATCTCAGAAAAATGGCGACATGGTGATTCATTTATTATCTGTCAGACTCTATTGCACCATTCGAATATAATTAGAACTAGTGTGGGAGTAGAATCTGGTCTCTGTTTGGTTGAATGTAATTCTACATTAGATAAGTTCATTTGATACAATGCACACACACAAAGTCAGTGATACTACAGTGTATTAATTACTGGGTGATATTTGCAGCACAATTTATTGCTTATAATCAAATGGATGCATTCATATGACTTTGCGACTTGCTTTATGTACTTTGTCATCTGTTCAAGATAAGTTTTGCATCATTTCGATCGATGACGTTTGATGTTGACCTGATAGACAGAGTTTTAGTGTTTGGTCTATCTCACTGCTTCAATTTATTAATTTGGTTGGTGGTGTACATCAGTGGAATCTAGGACGCGCATTTCGTTCTGTTTTGAGACTCGTCAGCTGACTTCGTGATCTAATAAATAACGCCTAGGCGTTTGAAACGATGAACTCAGGGTTCGAGTGTCATTGGGGACATCATAATTCTCTGGGGATATAATTAAATCCAGGTGACGAGTTCGAATAAGGATAAAAAGGCTCCTCCTTGTGGATTCTATTGTTAGCTACCATTCATCAAAATGACTTCGTGCTAATCGGTTACTTGATTTCATCATTAGCTGATATCAGTTAGACGACCGTTTCGTCCCAGTTTCGGGACTCTTGGACAATACGCATCCACCACCAGGGTTCCGAACCAGTACCTTCTGGTTACAAGGCGAGCTAGCTCGTAGACCATTAAACAGCCACTGGGATGCCGATTCAATGACCAACCAGCCAGCCAACCCATGAATTCTAACTTCTGCCAATTCACGATATGGTGCTACCACTTCGCAATGTTTTCTTCCATGAGTAACTGTCTTCACCTTCGATCTGCTGTACCCTGCTGGTCACGGCTTTCTACTTTAACCCCAGGGCCAACCGCTAGCGAGCATCTGGAAGTAATCTCAGATGTTCCAATGGTTTTCTAGCCGATGTCGGCTCATGATAAAATCCCTACAAACCGCTACTTGAGTTTCATGGTAATCCTTAGACATCGTCTAAAAAATTGATCAACGGAGAATGCAAAATTAACCTGAAAAGGAAGAAGCATATTTACTGTCTAATAATTTTACCTTATCGGATTCTGGTGTTCGATTGCATTCCAGTTCAAGCATTGCATACAACATTAGTTCCTAATACATGGGAAATCGCAGTAAAATACATGAGGGAGTATGTAATCATTAGCAGAATAAAACTAACCTGTCTCATCAGGTCACATTCCCTATTAGTGGGTGAACAATTTTACACTTGTTAAAATGATTGGAAGAATCAGCAACGAAGGATCAAAAAAGCGATGTAGCTATGAATGCTTGGTCACTACACTCCAATTGTCCTTGTGGTAAGTTTTCATATACCTCTTGCTTCAAACTCTGAAAATAACATTCAGAAGGATCGATAGTTCACGCTTTCACGGTCTGTATTTGTACTGAAAGTAAAAATCAAGGTTTCTGTACTGGCTGAACTCACCATAGGACATTCATGTTAACATTTGACGGACGTAACCCCCCCAGTTAAACTCCCTACCCTATATGGTCTTCAGAACGAGTTACACATTACATCTATGTAGCTGGACGATGACGCTAACAAACACGGTGTTAGACCATGTATGTCAACATGTGCTTTGCACGGGAATACGATTTTATTTCTGTGTCTCTGAATAAATAAAGAAACAATGGCAGAAATGGTATTTCACTGACTCTCACCACTGAAGCAGCTAGCTGTCACCTATTCTGCATCCGTCATGTTTCCTCACAAAGCTGGGATACAGTTTAACTCAACGGGGTCTTATTTTCCCATCAATTCTGCCAAGTTCGTTCCTTTGGCTGTGGTTTCGCTAGACAGTAAGTAAGGACAGTGGGAGTTTAGTTAATACACTCATGTACGTTACTAATGACATGACGACGCAGTTAGTCAGCAGGTTATGTAGATCACCTTATTGTAATGATGAGCAGTAAATTGTGCCCGTAAATATCGTGCAGGTATTAATACGTTATATTAATATATGTGTGAAACTTGGGCACTGCTGTAGTAAGTAATTCCATATTGGTTTGTTTATTAGATGTATCACACAGTGAGGGAAACAGTATTATTTATTGGATGACACAGTTTCGAACACAATTTATTATTTTTCATAATCATATCAACTGTAATCACAGGACTTTGAAACTTGAGTTTTATAGTTCTCATTGTCCTCTCCTATTTGTCGTCGTAGGGGTAGTAGAATTTTCCAAATATCTGGTTGGAAAGCTGTTGAATCATTCCCATTACACGTGTTTGCGGTTGATTCGATAAACAAAATTTCTGTTATCAATCTCTCCCTATACCCTGTGACATTAGATTTTAAAACTGTCATCCTATCCCACCCATCCTTTTTGATGGCTTGTTGTGTGTAACTGCATGTAATGCTATAGCTGAACTACTTCTACTAATTTTAATTAATTTTTTAAATTTGAATTACAGCTTGATTCCACACCGTATTTTTTGGTACAGTTATGAAATTCTCAACATGTGATATCGGTAGCCCAAATTTTGCAGGCCGATCATAGATATCAGGTGTGCGTCGGCAGGGGGTCGAACCCCGGACCATGTGCATGGTCGGCGAGAGTCCTAACCGCTGTGCCACCGACGCACAAATAGGAGAGAACAAAGAAAACTATAAAACTCAAGTTTCAAAGTCCTGTGATTACAGTGGATATGATTATGAAGAATAAATTTTTTTCGAAACTGTGTCATCCAGTAAATAATACTGCTTGACTGTGTGATATATCTAATAAACAAACTAATAGGGAATTAATACACTATACTTCTGTTTGTGTTATATCAAATAAATTTATTTAATATAAAATTATATTTTACCACAGTACCCAGATTCTATTTATGCATAAATACTAATTGTGTTCGAATAGTGCAGTGGAGTCTGATGTATAGTAAGTTAACTACAATGCCCTTGTGTTCTGGGAGTGTGACTGACTGGTTTAACCAGTCGTATCTTTTGTCAGTTATTTTTATATTCTTAGACTTGAATTCCGTATCAATTCCGACCGGAAACCAAGACTATTCCTAATAGATATCTCACACAAATCAATACCATCAGTTTGGTCACTACTGTGCAGACCAAAAGGCCTAACAGCAAAAGAAGAAAACATGAACACCGTCTACTAAATAGATTGTATCCATTGTAATAAGCACTATATTTTTTAAATTGAGTACCTCTTTCGACTCCTAGCCGATGAATATAAACCAGCAGAGTTAAAACTCAGATACCTAACAGGTGCGGACTTACCGAAGATCTAGTAACGAGTATTTGAGCTTTAAGGCAAATTTGGACCTCTTATTATTATTTCTTTGAGTTCCGAGTGGAACATAGGGCTTCAAAAACATATCTCCACTTTGTCCTATCTCCTGCTGTCCTCTTCACTTATTTCCACGGTTGCCCACAATCTCTAATCTCCTCCACTTCACCCTAAGACGACCCACTCATCGCTTCACATTGAGATTCCACTTAAAAGATGGCCTGCATTGCGTGCGATGTCATTCGACGGCCTCCTCAATGTATGCCCGGTTCATCTCCATTTTCTATATATTTGCTGAGCGATTGGTGTTTAGTTGGTTTTTTGCCACAGTTTCTTGTTACTTATTCTTTCTGGCTATTTGATCTTAGTATGGAACCAGCCAGCAAAGTGGGCAGCTGTTGATGAAAGTTTGCTACCTGGTGGAAATCCTTTCCGTGATGCGCAGTGCAAGTGTCTGACCCATAT